TGCTGGGCTAAGACTTTGCTCCCATTTCCCTATGTAGGTGGCCATTATTCTCCCTTCCTTCCCTTCACCCTCCCCCTTTTATTAGTTGGCTTTCCCCCTTAGGATTTAAGCTGCTTGAGAACAGAGAATGGTCTTTCTGTTTGCTTGTATTCACATGCCCAGGGCTTAGCACAGTGCCTGGCACATGGTTAGTGCTTAATAAATGCTCATTGCCTATGGAGCCAAGGTAGGTCACTGCTCCTCTGACTGCTAGACTGGGGCTCTTTCCATTACATTCTGTAGTCTCCTTTAAATCTGCAGTCCACTTGTGTTCCGGAGTCTTAATCAGAAAAACCAGTATAGCCAGCCTTTGAACTCCCCGGTGAGGGTGGAGCCAGAACTCCCATTTCTGACTTGGTGAGGCAGGAGGCTACTCTCCTAAGGGAGAAGTCAACAGCTTAATTACAGAGAGTGCCTCAGAGCAAGTGCTGCCGATGACACGGTCTCCTCCTGATAACTTTCAGAAGGTTCTCAGTGTGGTCCCCAATCGCCCTCACAAACCTTCCACCAGAGCCATAACTAAGGTAGGGCAAGAAGGGCTTTCTGCCATGGGGATGAAATGTGAACATTTTCAGTTCTTCAACAACACTGAACCAACTGAGCGTGGCTAGTAAGAATAATTAATTTAAAAAGAAGCTTCCTTTCCTCCAGCAGCCACCATGTCACAGGTGGGTTCTTGCGCTCCCCATTGGCCCAGCTGGCCCTTCTCCTGTCTCTTTGGTTTCCCCAGCAGCGTTTGAGGACACATTTTGGGCCTCCTGCTCTGGGCCTGTTCTCTGCTACCTGCCCTGGTAGACAAAAATGTCTAGTTACCATTCTGCTTCTCACCTCTTAATGGAGTAGCCAAAGAAAAGCCTGGTTTGCCCCAATGTGGAGCCCAGGTTTGTTCTAGAAGCAGATATACTCCCGGAGTTAGAGCCCACTTACTCAGGGAATAGAGGAAAAAGTAAGTATCTCACTGCCGGGACAGGATGGTTAGTGGCAACAAGACAGCAGTGAAATATTCACATGAGGGGTTGCTGAGGGACCACAGCACCTGAGCACTGAAATGCAACACACTGAATCTACAGAGTATAACTAAGGTGAGGTGATCAGGGCTTTGTCCCAGTATGCTGCACTTAAACATAAACACTTGAAGTCCTTTTGAGGCCACAGACAGCGGAGCTTTGGACCTAGTTAGGAAGAATGATTTACAATAGGAAGCTACCCAAAGACAGTGACTTCCCTTCCCCACCCTGCCACCCCCCACCTGCCCAGATGAACTGTACCGAAGATAATGAGATAATTCGTGGGTGTGATTGCAAACAATTGCAGAAATCAAGGGGAATGAGAGGTGATGCCAGCCTGGGAATTTTCAGGAAGGGGAAGAAGGTAGATGCTTCAAACTCTGGACTGGGAGCTGGATCTCAACTCCCTGTAAAGTTCTCAAAGGGATTATTATTAAAGGGTTTGTAGGCACTTAGAGAAGAAAATAGTCATCATCATTTCCGGACAAGGTCTCCACAGGACTTGTTTTGAAAGAAGCCCCGGCCAGCTTCTTTTCTCTTTACAGCTACTCAAATGGGCATCGTGATGTCGTGGAGAGAGCGCAGGGTTGGAATCCAGGACGACCGGGGTTCAAAACCTGCCTCTGACGCTCGCTCCTGGTGGGACTCGCCAGCGCTTACCTACTGTCATGATGGATCTCAAGTGTCACACGTAGGAAACCCAAGACAGGCCGCGCACGCCAGACCCGTCGGCTGGGTCTGCAGGGGGTCGTTTTGGCTGTAGAGGGAAGCCAGGCTTTGCCCCCTTCCCCACAGCGCCGGGCAGCAGGTGACATCACGTCTGGGAGGGGCTGGCCGCCTCAGGGCTGGGAGAGGGCTTTGGCGAGCCTCGGCCAAAACCAGCTCTTGGTGCAGGGGTTGGTGTAGTCGCAGACCGTGATGAAGCGAAGGATGCTGGGAAATTCCTTCTTCATCGCCTTGTACTTGACGGGGATCAGGCGCTTCTGGCGGGCCCCTGCAAAGAGGCGGGGTCAGGAAACTGAAGGCCAGCGCTGAGTCTCCCCCGGCCCCGTGCCCCCCCCCCCCACCCCGGCACCTCCTGCAGGGCCAGCGCCTCTGAAAGGCGACGGGGGCGGGCACAACTCAAGGCAGACGTGCCCGTGTGGGGGCATGGCCGGGCACAAGCGGACTCCTGATTCAGAGGGGAAGGAGAGCGCAGACCAGCCCTGGCTCCCAGACTTTGGCCTCGACTATCACCGCTTCACCCGGCGATCCTGGCCTCAGCGGGGACTCCCCACTGTTGGCCCTTCTGCAGCCCCGCTTCTCCCTCGGGACAGCAGCCCCCCGAAATCATGCCTCCCTGCATGGAGGGGGTGATGGAGGACCTCAGCCCTGCTGCTGCTACCTTTTACTACTACTACTACTAGTACTACTACTACTGCTACTGCTGCTGCTACTACTAGTACTACTACTACTGCTATTGCTGCTGCTACTAGTACTACTACTACTACTACTGCTACTGCTGCTG